TTTGGTTCTCCAAAGAACCTTTCAGTAAGCTGATCTTAAAAGAACCATTTTCTTTTTATTGTGAAGAACTTTAGAAAAATCTAAAGAATATTTTGTTCACTTTAAAGATCCACTTGTTGAATGAAAGACTCAAGGAATGTTAAAGGCTCTTCATGGAACCAAAGATGCCAATAAAGAACCTTTATTTTTAAATACAGATGCTGTATCTATTGCATCTGACATGTTTTTTGTTTTTTTACTGACACAACTCAGAAACTCAAAACTTTCCCCATTATAATTATGACTACATAGTGATGTTCATGTGCATTCAACTCATAAATATAATCTTTCCAACATGACTTGTACAAGTTATTCATTTACATATATTAGCAACATTGTAACAATAAAAACCTGGTTCAAAATCTGCAAACCTATTCTTTAAATTACTAAAACTTACTGTTAACTGAAAATATAAAAAATAAAATGTGACCTGAAAATGTAAAAAGTAAAGCTAAACCAAAAAAGCTAAATGCTATGTATATAAAAAAAAATACTAAAATAACACTAATCTCCATAGTTTCTTCCACCAGTCTATGGATATCTCATGTATTATGGCTGAGAGCTGTTTATTAAACAGACTCGATGAATTGCGAAACATTTAGTGAATTAATCTGATTAATGTACCAATTAAATGGCATTTAAACAGTTTCACACCCCACCTACACTGCAAGCGATTCAACATGCCATGACAAAACAAGTATACTCCTATTATAATCAGCACACTTACTCTCAGTCTATGCTGCTATGTTCATTAATTATAATAGGAACGCTATAGGCTGCCACATCACTCACATGCAGTGCAGACACGACGGGGGTGGGGGGGGGTCAGACTTTGAATATCCATTAGACCCCAAAGAAGTGAGTTTTCCACTGTTTCACCAACAGTCAGACTGTCATTTATCGTTAAATGTCACGCAGGTATATTTAGTAAAGGCAGAGCGAGTTCAGTGTTTTGTAGCCGAGCAGAGGGGGTGTTTTAACAGCGACGTAGTGTCACCGAGTGCGCTGGTGGATGGATTCGCTGTTTAAGTTGACACAGCTGTGCACCAGGATGTCAGATCGAACCCTGCGTCTCTGTTTGTATTTCTCCCCTCAGAGAGCATATTTCCTCTGCTATAAATAGCCGTCCTCCCATATATGCCTGTGGATTTGTGTTTGTTTTTTTCTTCTTCCATGTTCCTGCTATATTTGTAGATGAATGGACAGGAAGGAGCGTGACTGCTCGCAGGTCTATGGCCCTTGTTTATAGTCGGTTGGGGCTGGGATGATGTGAAATGACAGTGTAGTCAAGGCGGCCGGCTGACAGGATGACCCTCGGTGTTGGCCGCCATCTCTCTCCGGCTGCCTTCCTCTCGCCCCGCCATGTCAAAGACCTCCGGACCGTGCAGGGGCGAAACCATGTGCACTGCCTTTGAAAACTGCATCGGGTTGTCTGGAGTGTCACTTTCACAGGAGACTATCCGGCTCTGCAAAATTGATGATCTTGAGGAAAGTTTCACTTAGAAGGTTTAAAGATGGATTATCTTACACTCTTCAAAATAAAGGTTCCAAAAGGGAGTTTTCATAGTGATGCTGTAGAAGAATTGTTTTTGGTTCCCCAAGGAACTTTTCAGTGAACTGTTCTTAAAAGAACCATTTTCTTTTTATTGTGAATAAAAGGATTATTCTTTTTTCACTGTAAATATCCATTTGTTGAATGAAAAGATGTTAAAGGCCCTTCATGGAACCAAAGATGCCAATAAAGAACCTTTATTTTTAAGAGTGTAGAAATACAGGTTCCAAAGTGTATAAATAAGAGATAATACAAATACAGGTTCCAAAAGGGGTTTAGAAGAATTAGAGAGAAGAATTATTTTGAGATCCTCAATGAACCTTTCAGTGAAGTTACAGTTAGTGAACACTGAACAGTTGTTAAAAGAACCATTTTTTTTCTGTGTGAAGAACATTTTGTCAGCTAAAAAACAACAAAAAAAACTTTTTTTACTCTACACACCTAAAAATAAAAGTTCTTTATAGCAATTATGGTTCCATGAAGAACCTTTAACTTAAGAAGTTGACAGCGAACACCAGCATTTTTTGTTAATTTTATCACTTGCAAATTTCATGGCCACAAAAATAGTTTGTGTATATCTGAACATACAGTATGTGAAAAGAAAGAACAGAGCAGCTACTTTTAAACTAAACAAACTGTTTTTTTTAAACGTCATACATCAATGCTTGAATATTTTGTTCATAAAAAAGCAACATTTTGAACAAAAAGCTGAGAAAATTGCATTTTTGTCAAAGGCCCTGTTTACACTAGTGCGTTTTCATTTTAAAACGGCGTTTTAAAGTAAAAATTATCCTCGTCTACACTGGCGTTTTCACTGTGTTTCAGAAACGATCTCTGTCCACACTACACAACCGAAACCGCATGTCACATGACCATTCATGCAGGTACAGCCATAGATATGTATACGTAGATGCCTCATTAGCTACTGTTTCTATGGGCCGTGGTACGTAATCCATCCGCCATTTTTGGAACGGTCTGCGAACCTTTGAGCGCGTTGACTGTGTGCCACGCCACCGTTTTAAAAAGTCTCCATTTTGGTCCGTTTACACTGAAAATGCAACCCCGGAGTTTTCAAACTTAAAACGAAGTCTGCAGCGTTTTCAAAAGTCTCCGTTTTCGAGGGTCGAAAATGGCGGAGTAGTTTAAACGACAGGCGTAACTGTAGCAAAAGTTATGCATTTTAAAACAAAAAACGCACTAGTGTAAACGTAGCCTGAGACTACGTACAGATCAGATTCAGAATGATGAACAAAACGTAGATCGAGTAGACTGTGTCCATCAACGCCCCCAAACCTTACACAGTCCCATACCTCTTCATGGGTTCCACATTTAATTCAGTAATGTTTGGCAGTTTTGATTTATATGCTGTTGAATGTTTGATGACCGCTTTAGCTTACATGTGCGTAAGCAATGATTCGATCGCTTGTTTCTGCTTCTTCTTTGCTTGTTTTTGGATCCTGAGATTCTGTACTATTTCAGAAGATGTCTATTAGCGCCCCATATCC